TATCTATTGGCTCTACCAAACACCAGCGATTTAGTAATTAACAAGGATGCTTCCATTATCACTCCTTAGTACACATCCGCAGTTGGGCTGTTCGTTCTTATTTCCTACAACCGACTATGCTCTCTCCACTACAAACGGCAATGATTCCAACAGCTCTCCTGACCGACTCCCTTGTGCCTCCAAACCTTTATGTTCATTAATCCTTACGTCTTTTTTGCCTTGTTTCAGAAAGTAAACCCACTGGCACTTTAGAGCTCATTCCATTCCACATCCTTCATGATTCCTTCTGCTTCTTAAAGTTCAAACTTTTCACTATATTCCATCTTACAAATCCCATATAATATTCATTCTTCTTTCAGCCAAATTACTGCCTTCTCCTGTTCCCACCAGCTTTTTCCCCTACAGCATTTTCAATGGTCCCTAAAAACTTTATAAACAGCCAAATAGCTGTTTCAATTTTATCCTGCTAGAGTCTGCCCACTTTTTAAAAATAGTTAACCAACCACATCTTTCTCAAATGCTCTAATTCTGACAGTTCCTACTCATTCTTTTTTGGGTGCTGTTTCTTCTACTCATCCTGTATTTCTCGGAGTTGTATGTGCATTCTTGGACAGTATATGGAAGGTCTAAACCGTAGCCTACGTGTCCATCCGAGCCATGCCTCTCTGTGGCCTCTCTCCTCATCAGCGGAACTCTTTTTTCTAATTATTTCCTGAATACTTCCACACAGATATTTCAAATCATGCCCATGGTTTGATGCCCAAATCTGATCCCTTTCCCATGATATTTCAAATGTTCACCAGGCATGTAATCTCTTAGACGGAAAACCTTTGTGACGTTTTCCCTCAACTCTTATCCCTGTATAATACATCTGATTGCTGAGCGGTTCTATCAGATTCTACTCTGCAAATTACCTCCAGAAACCATTCACTCTTTTCCATTTTCAATGCCACGTGCTCATTCAGGACCTCATGTCTTTTCACTTTGAACAAGAAGGGAGCTTCTATTTGATCTCTGTATTTCTATTTCCTCCTACGAACCCTCCATGATGCCACCAGAGTAAGGAATGTGTTCTTTGCTTTATATTCTAGCTGCAAGCACAGTATCTAAAACACAGAAATGCTCAACAATTGTTAAATAAATGTACCTTTAAAAAACACAAATATGCCTCTCTCCGCTAAAAATACTTCTGGGAGTGTCCTTTGGCATACAAGTGCACACACAGACGCACACATATAAACCCAAAATCCTGGGCATGCCATCTAAAAACCCTTCACACGACTGTTACGTATTCATGAACATGATAAAGACAACAAAGCCCTTCCTGGTCTGATTCTCATGTGCCTTTCCGGCCTCATCATTCACTATTCCTCCTTCCCCATTCCAGGGATCTTTCATTCAGCCTTGCTGGATCACACCCCCTTTCTTTGTATCGCCAAGCCTTTGTCACTGCTGGGGTGCTCACCCTCACTTTCTTTCTGAGCAAATGTTACTAGAAAGTTTTAGATGAAACATCCCACTCGTCTGTGAAGCCTTCCCCGCCTTCCCACATCTGCCCCCTTGAGAGCAGAGCACACGGTGGGCGCCACAGAAACTGTTAGTCTCACTCCCTGTGAGTCTTCAGCCAGATTACACTTTTTATTCTTTCCTCAGACGTAAGTGTAGCCATTTACTTGAGTTCAGAATAATGGAAGGTAAGCCTGAGTAACGGGCATTGTGTTTCCACAGCTCCATAACTGGCCTCTCTGGAAAAAAAAAGAACAAAACCAGAAAGATCCCCAAAACTCTCGTGCAATCCTCACTCTCCTCAGTGGCTAAACTGAGGCCCCAAAGAGGACAAACCACAAAATAAAAGGAATCTGGAGCTCTGAATTCTGCAAGGAGCAGTGCTCTCTCTGCTATTTTGTGACAAGAACACAAGATAGATTTGCACTGGTTTTTTTTTTGCAGTTTTTGCTGGGGCTGGGTTTGAACCCACCACCTCCAGCATATGGGGCCAGCGCCCTACTCCTTTGAGCCACAGGTGCTGCCCAATTTGCATTGTTTTAAGTCATTGAAATTCTGGCATCGTTTGCTATGGCTGTTTGTCGACTCTGCCTAATATAGTAGGTGTTCAATGAATGTTTTCTAAACCAAAGAATGAAAAGGATTTAGGAAGTCAATACAAACAGGTTGTCCCTTCTAAAGTGAAGTCTTCTTTCAGAAAAAAATCCCTCTATGGCCGTTTCACTTAATGATGGAGATCAGAGGAGCAGCTGCCACACAGGGCATGACTCAGTGTGTGTCGCCAATAGCATATTTCCAGAATTTATTCTCATCTTTACCAGTTATATAAAAACAAATCCACAGGGATGTGGCTTTTTCAATTATTGCAGCTGTTTGCTTAAGTTAGATTTTAAATGATTTGTGGAAATACTTTATATACCCTATGGGAGGGAATTAATCAAATCCAGAATTAGAAAAGACTGACAGGGTATCTGACTCATCTCCTAATTTCAGA